TAGTTCCCTGTGTTGGTGGTGTGCTCCACTGAGGAATGGCTGGTGGATAATGTGTTGTTTGTTCCCTGTGTTGGTGGTGTGCTCCACTGAGGAATGGCTGGTGGATAATGTGTTGTTTTGTTCCCTGTGTTGGTGGTGTGTTCCACTGAGGAATGGCTGGTGGATAATGTGTTGTTCTGTTCCCTGTGTTGGTGGTGTGCTCCACTGAGGAATGGCTGGTGGATAATGTGTTGTTTTGTTCCCTGTGTTGGTGGTGTGCTCCACTGAGGAATGGCTGGTGGATAATGTGTTGTTTTGTTCCCTGTGTTGGTGGTGTGCTCCACTGAGGAATGGCTGGTGGATAATGTGTTGTTCTGTTCCCTGTGTTGGTGGTGTGCTCCACTGAGGAATGGCTGGTGGATAATGTGTTGTTCTGTTCCTTGTGTTGGTGGTGTGCTCCATTGAGGAATGGCTGGTGGATAATGTGTTGGTTTGTTCCCTGTGTTGGTGGTGTGCTCCACTGAGGAATGGCTGGTGGATAATGTGTTGTTTTGTTCCCTGTGTTGGTGGTGTGCTCCACTGAGGAATGGCTGGTGGATAATGTGTTGTTTTGTTCCCTGTATTGGTGGTGTTCTCCACTGAGGAATGGTTGGTGGATAATGTGTTGTTTTGTTCCCTGTGTTGGTGGTGTTCTCCACTGAGGAATCGGGCTGGTGGATAATGTGTTGGTTTGTTTCCTGTATTGGTGGTGTGCTCCACTGGGGAACGGCAGGTGGATAATGTGTTGTTCTGTTCCCTGTGTTGGTGGTGTGCTCCACTGGGGAATGGCTGGTGGATAATGTGTTGTTTTGTTCCCTGTGTTGGTGGTGCGCTCCACTGATGAATGGCTGGTGGATAATGTGTTGTTTTGTTCCCTGTATTGGTGGTGTGCTCCACTGATGAATGGCTGGTGGATAATGTGTTGTTTTGTTCCCTGTGTTGGTGGTGTGCTCCACTGATGAATGGCTGGTGGATAATGTGTTGTTTTGTTCCCTGTGTTGGTGGTGTGCTCCACTGGGGAATGGCTGGTGGATAATAGAGAGGTTCCGCACTACGTAAAGTTGAGCAACTTTACATTAGTGGGCGGGGAAAACCCGTGAATTCGCGAGTTTGCACTCTACTTACGGAAAGTTGTCTACGTAGAGTACGTAGATAGGGCTCTGATAACGTAGCTGGTCCGTAAGTGGATTGTGGTACAAATTTATGACTCTCTCCCCAGGTCGATCTGGTCGTACACTGCCGCGTTCGGAGTTGCCAAGGGCAGCTACGTGATTTTAAAACTCCGTATGGCGGAACACAGATGCGCATGCAGTTTACGTAAGACTTTCCGTAGATCCACTACGTTTTTTACTTACGTAATTACGTTATGCGGAACCTCTCTAATGTGTTGTTTTGTTCCCTGTGTTGGTGGTGTGCTCCACTGAGGAATGGTTGGTGGATAATGTGTTGTTTTGTTCCCTGTGTTGGTGTTGTGCTCCACTGAGGAATGGCTGGTGGATGATGTGTTGTTTAGTTCCCTGTGTTGGTGGTGTGCTCCACTGAGGAATGGCTGGTGGATAATGTGTTGTTTGTTCCCTGTGTTTGTGGTGTGCTCCACTGAGGAATGGCTGGTGGATAATGTGTTGTTTTGTTCCCTGTGTTGGTGGTGTGTTCCACTGAGGAATGGCTGGTGGATAATGTGTTGTTCTGTTCCCTGTGTTGGTGGTGTGCTCCACTGAGGAATGGCTGGTGGATAATGTGTTGTTTTGTTCCCTGTGTTGGTGGTGTGCTCCACTGAGGAATGGCTGGTGGATAATGTGTTGTTTTGTTCCCTGTATTGGTGGTGTTCTCCACTGAGGAATGGCTGGTGGATGTGTTGTTTTGTTTCCTGTGTTGGTGGTGTTCTCCACTGAGGAATGGCTGGTGGATAATGTGTTGTTTTGTTCCCTGTGTTGGTGGTGTGCTCCACTGAGGAATGGCTGGTGGATAATGTGTTGTTCTGTTCCCTGTGTTGGTGGTGTGCTCCACTGAGGAATGGCTGGTGGATAATGTGTTGTTTTGTTTCCTGTGTTGGTGGTGTTCTCCACTGAGGAATGGCTGGTGGATAATGTGTTGTTTTGTTTTCTGTGTTGGTGGTGTGCTCCACTGAGGAATGGCTGGTGGATAATGTGTTGTTCTGTTCCCTGTGTTGGTGGTGTTCTCCACTGATGAATGGCTGGTGGATAATGTGTTGTTTTGTTTCCTGTGTTGGTGGTGTTCTCCACTGAGGAATGGCTGGTGGATAATGTGTTGTTTTGTTCCCTGTGTTGGTGGTGTGCTCCACTGAGGAATGGCTGGTGGATAATGTGTTGTTCTGTTCCCTGTGTTGGTGGTGTGCTCCACTGAGGAATGGCTGGTGGATAATGTGTTGTTCTGTTCCCTGTGTTGGTGGTGTGCTCCACTGAGGAATGGCTGGTGGATAATGTGTTGTTTTGTTCCCTGTGTTGGTGGTGTGCTCCACTGAGGAATGGCTGGTGGATAATGTGTTGTTTTGTTCCCTGTATTGGTGGTGTTCTCCACTGAGGAATGGCTGGTGGATAATGTGTTGTTTTGTTCCCTGTGTTGGTGGTGTGCTCCACTGAGGAATGGCTGGTGGATAATGTGTTGTTCTGTTCCCTGTGTTGGTGGTGTGCTCCACTGAGGAATGGCTGGTGGATAATGTGTTGTTTTGTTCCCTGTGTTGGTGGTGTGCTCCACTGAGGAATGGCTGGTGGATAATGTGTTGTTTTGTTCCCTGTATTGGTGGTGTTCTCCACTGAGGAATGGCTGGTGGATAATGTGTTGTTTTGTTTCCTGTGTTGGTGGTGTTCTCCACTGAGGAATGGCTGGTGGATAATGTGTTGTTTTGTTCCCTGTTTTGGTGGTGTGCTCCACTGAGGAATGGCTGGTGGATAATGTGTTGTTCTGTTCCCTGTGTTGGTGGTGTGCTCCACTGAGGAATGGCTGGTGGATAATGTGTTGTTCTGTTCCCTGTGTTGGTGGTGTGCTCCACTGGGGAATGGCTGGTGGATAATGTGTTGTTTTGTTCCCTGTGTTGGTGGTGCGCTCCACTGATGAATGGCTGGTGGATAATGTGTTGTTTTGTTCCCTGTATTGGTGGTGTGCTCCACTGATGAATGGCTGGTGGATAATGTGTTGTTTTGTTCCCTGTGTTGGTGGTGTGCTCCACTGATGAATGGCTGGTGGATAATGTGTTGTTTTGTTCCCTGTGTTGGTGGTGTGCTCCACTGGGGAATGGCTGGTGGATCATCATTGCGCGAAATCGCGCATCTATGAGCGACATCCACATAAACTGCTGGGACCATGGTTGTGTACTCGAATCTCATTCTGAGCACCCTTTTTTCTTCCTTTTTTCAGCCGTTTTTTTGCAAAAAGTCCTCGAGCTCGATTTTTTTTGATCGATCGTTCTTCAAGGAAAGACGAGTGGACAATCGATCAACAGGGCCGAGGACGAATGCGTCTGGTTGGAGTTCTTGCGTGGCACAGGATGACCAGACACACATATAGATACATTGCGACGATCTAATCTGCACAGTGTTTCCTAATACCGCACGCACGACGGTAAGTACAATTCATGTGATTTCAAATTGTTTGTGATCTACAACGTCGCGAGCAGGACGGAAATACAGCAACAGCACGACAACCGTTATACCAGGCAGTAACCAACAGTCACCTCCGTCACATTCTCCAGATCAGAAGGCAAGTGAGGCAGTGAACATGAAGAAATAAAGTATGAAAGAATGAAAAGTGAATAATTCAAAAATCTCAGAAACGTTGAACGTAAAAAACATTGAGAACAAGAAAAGTGACTTATTTCGATGGCAAAAGACAAAGCGAATGTTCCTCGTATGGACCTGGCTCTTGCGGAATCAGCCACACTGTGGAACCATGTGTTTGATTCCACAAGGGATGGCTACCTGCTCCTCACCAACCAGCCTCCACGACGGTGGTAAAGTCGCCAAAAATACGAAAGTTGAACATTTTGTGCATGCATGCAATAGAAAATTTGTGCTGAGTATGTCGAGTGGCCATTCGCACAGGACAAAGCCGTTGCGCAAGCTGTGACCCTGAAATTTCGTCCATTGGTAGCGAGGGTAACCCTGAGCTGGAAAGTGTAAGGGATGGCGTGCTACACTCCCCCGCATACGCTTGACAGCACGATTTGAGGCGTGGAGTAGTAATATACCAGTATCTTACTACCCCCTGATACCTGATGCATGGACGTCGTCATCTTCATCCCGCAGATCGAAAATGTACAGGTGTCGCGTGATTTCGCGCAATGAATAGAGAGGTTCCGCACTACGTAAAGTTGAGCAACTTTACGTTAGTGGGCGGGGAAAACCCGTGAATTCGCGAGTTTGCACTCTACTTACGGAAAGTTGTCTACGTAGAGTACGTAGATAGGGCTCTGATAACGTAGCTGGTCCGTAAGTGGATTGTGGTACAAATTTATGACTCTCTCCCCAGGTCGATCTGGTCGTACACTGCCGCGTTCGGAGTTGCCAAGGGCAGCTACGTGATTTTAAAACTCCGTATGGCGGAACATAGATGCGCATGCAGTTTACGTAAGACTTTCCGTAGATCCACTACGTTTTTTACTAACGTAATTACGTTATGCGGAACCTCTCTAATGTGTTGTTTTGTTCCCTGTGTTGGTGGTGTGCTCCACTGAGGAATGGCTGGTGGATGATGTGTTGTTAAGTTCCCTGTGTTGGTGGTGTGCTCCACTGAGGAATGGCTGGTGGATAATGTGTTGTTTGTTCCCTGTGTTTGTGGTGTGCTCCACTGAGGAATGGCTGGTGGATAATGTGTTGTTTTGTTCCCTGTGTTAGTGGTGTGCTCCACTGATGAATGGCTGGTGGATAATGTGTTGTTTGTTCCCTGTGTTTGTGGTGTGCTCCACTGAGGAATGGCTGGTGGATAATGTGTTGTTTTGTTCCCTGTGTTGGTGGTGTGCTCCACAGATGGGTGGCAGGTGGATAACAGCGCTCCTGCGCCCACGCGGTCCGGGTCCGGCTGGTACTCAGGGAGTGTTAGGTAAGCCGTGGCTCATGTGCATGCATGCACGCCATTCTTCTTCTGCAGGGGCAATGAAACTGGCGTGGCAGGAGCAGGCCAGGCCGCGGTGATAATTTCAGAGATGAACTTGTCACACGGTCTTCTTGACGTTATGGTGGTGGCCCGGGATGTGTCGTGATTTTGAGAGCCCAGTGTCCCTTGGTAGAGAGGTGTCCCTTGGTAGAGACTTGTCCCTTGTTGATAAGTGCTGCTTTTGGACTCACTAGCCTCCTTCCGGAGTTGACTGCACCAATGCGAACCTTGCTGCAATGTCTAAGAGGTCCTTGGCAACACTGATTATGCACTACAAGTCTTTGAATTTTGGAAAATGCCCAGCTACACGTGCGTACATGCATGTTAGTTACTTTACCACCAGTGCACTCCATTCGCGAGCACATCAGCAGTGCTACAGCACCATCTCCGTGATAGCCGGAGGCTGTGTGAGTGCACACGTGTGTGCCGCATAGTTTCTGTATTCATATTCTGCCTGTACATGTGTATGCGCGCGCCTATCTGCAGGGAAAAGCCGCCTATTACGGAGCACACCGATGGCAGCTCAGCCAGTCTCTCACTGCAGCGTACTGCGTCGGACAACAGCTGGGCAAAGTCACCGATCCGGCAACCGTCCAAGGCCAGCGCTATGGTGGAGGATGAACATGTAAGAGCGCGCGCGCGCGAGAGAGAGAGAGAGAGAGAGAGAGAGAGAGAGAGAGAGAGAGAGAGAGAGAGAGAGAGAGAGGGAGAGAGAGAGAGAGAGAGGGAGTGAGTGAGAGAGAGACTGGATGAGCTAGCACACACCCAAGTAGCTCAAGTGCATGTGCACGCACATGTTTTCCGTATCTACTGCATACCGGCCTGCCCTAGTATGTGTCAGAACAGAACTGGTTGAGATCTGCACTGACGGCTGGCGGTGTTCGTGCAGATATCGGAACTGGTACTGCACACGAGCAAGGGCAATAATTTATTTATTGTATCCCTCGTGACGATAAGATGCACAATACGTAACCTCTTGTGCCCTGTAGAAAAGATATCCAGATACGGCATGTCCGGTTTAGGGAGACACTCTATTCTTGATATTTCACACTATGATGTCAGAATGTGTGGAATCTGTGTATGTGTTTGCTGTGCAATACCTCTGAATGTGTGGAATCTGTGGATGTGTTTGCTGTGCAATACCTGTGTATGTGTTTGCTGTGCAATACCTGTGTATGTGTTTGCTGTGCAATACCTCGTCCAGGATGAGCAGCTAGGTACTGTGCAGCCCACAACCTTCACCAGCTTTAGTTTGGCCCGACAGCCGTCTGCTAATCAAATGCAGACACCACAGCAGCAGCAGCGGCAGCAGTCACCACCGCCGGCCTTCGGAACTATACCTGATCCTCCTTCTCCACCGAGCACACCGCCTAGGACACCGCCGCTCACGCCGTTCAAAGAAATGAACTCCCCGTCGCCACCCAAGTACCAGAGCTCGCCGATAGTGAGCCAGCCAACGCACATATCGGATGGTCATGATTTCTCAGAAATCAACCAAACCAACACATTCGCACCCCTGGCGAGGGCACAGCAGCAACACAGCCCTTCACCGGACACGCTGAAACAGGACACTATCGTCTAGGTGATTACCGCCGCCGAAGATGCCGTGACCTTAACACTAGCTCTAAGCTCACAGGTCACAGATAGCGTCCGGCTATTGGTATGTCCCGTGCTGCAGTGCTAATCCGACCAACATCAGCAGTGGCACTGTGCGAGAATGACAGGTGTCGAGGTGTATTTGTCTTCCTTCCTCATCCTCCTCCGTAACCTGACGGCTTGACTTATGGAGATCTTTGAACCGTCTTCCTCCCCATTGCATGAACAACAACTGGCTAGCCAGCACAGACTGGAGTGGTGCTGTTGCTCATGCCCGTACTAAAGAACGCTTTAGTTGGTTCAAACTTCAAAGTCCGTGGCCAACTGCTTGAAATGAAAACCCCACGAATACATGCCATACTTCAACTTCTACTGTAAACTGTCACAGTTAGCATATGACAAGATAGAAGAAGAATCTCTTCCATGCCATCACACATCCTAGAATTTAGCACGAGGTAATATTCCAGTCAGATAATGATGGAGATAAAAATTATACTGCTTTGGCTATAGGAAAGACCCCTGTTATCCCCAATAGCCTCATTGAAATGCCCGATGTTTGTTTTCCTATCTATACCCGGTTTATGTGGCAGATACACGTACCAGACCGTATCTATTGTATCTATTCCTCTGCAGTGAATTCCTTCATATTACTACTACTTTCCTTCTTCTTGCTTTCTTTCGTCGCTCTTAGCCAGTCTTGGGTTCTCCTCTTCACTTGCCATGTTACATTGTACATGATTCCAACTACTTGTACCTGTACGGAAGTGCACTGGTTGGCGCTCTGCGTGTGTGTGGAGGGAGGGGGGGGGGGGTGTTGTGTGTGTGGAGGGGGGGGGGGGTGTTGTGTGTGTGGAGGGGGGGGGGTGGTGTTGTGTGTGTGGATGGGGGGGGGGGGGGGGGTGTTGTGTGTGTGGAGGGGGGGGGGGTGGTGTTGTGTGTGTGGATGGGGGGGGGGGGGGTGTTGTGTGTGTGGAGGGGGGGGGGGGGGTGTTGTGTGTGTGGAGGGGGGGGGGGTGTTGTGTGTGTGGATGTGTGTGGAGGGGCGGGAGGTGTTGTGTGTGTGTGTGTGGAGGGGGGGGGGGGGGTGTTGTGTGTGTGCCAGCTACCTTTAGTTCGGTTAGTGGGCACACATACATGTAGGCCTGATGGTGTTGGGTCTGTTGCCAACTGGCTCGGCTGCTTGAAGGTGTAATGTTGTACCTGCCACCTTTGTTGCGGCTTTCAGGGTTCATTTAGGTTAAAGGGGAAGTGCATCGATTTTTCGAGTATGGTCCAGAAGAAAGACAATTTGATATCGGTTCGAATGGCATATCTCTCGCTTTCATACGATAAGCCAAACTTGCCAAATCGCCAATTGTATACTCACGTTGCCATAGCGACCAGCGCAGTGATGACGTACGAAAGGCTTAGCTCCACCACAGAGAAGGTCGATCACTGCAGAATTTGGTCATTTTCAATTGGTTCATTGTATTCACGAAGTGAAAGAAGGGCTGTGTTCAATGCTGTTAGTGCAGTGAACTGTTTGTTAGTAGTCCCCTCGGTTGTGTACTGGGACGTGACACCGACAGGAGAAAGCTGGAGTGCGGAGACACCAGCAGACAAGCGAAAATAGTGACGAACAAAATGCTGAAATCTTGGTTGGGACAAATCAGACGTTCAGCATTTTCCCCAACCAAGGACCATGCCGTTTGCTCTTTCCACCTCCTGAAGATGAATGAGATGCTTCCTGGCGACTCTCCTATCTCTCGTAACATCTTCTGAAGCCAGGTGAGACGACGGGTGGTGGAGATTGACGAATGAAATAATGTCGTAGGTTTGAAAGTTTGCTGAAAATGTCTCAGGAGAGATGGCGAATTCCAAGCATCTTGTCCTGGAGGAAACCATTTCCTAGGCACAGTCAGCCTAGGGAAATGCATGAGAAGGGCGATAAATAGTTCACGGCACTAACAGCATTGAACACAGCACTTCTTTCACATCGTAAATACAATAAGACAATTGAAAAATGACCAATTTATGCAGTGATCGACCTTCTCTGTGGAGGAGCTAAGCCTTTCATACGTCATCACTGCTCTGGTCGCTATGGCAACGTGAGCATAGGCGATTTGGCAAGTTTGGCTTATCGTGTCTTTCTTCTGGACCCTACTCGAAAAATCGATGCACTTCCCCTTTAACTCTTGTGAAGAAGAGGTCGGTGCGACTTTTTATTTTTTTTATTTTTTTATTTTATTGGGAACACAGCCCTACAAAGAGACATGTGGAGACAAACACAAGACAAGACACAGGGGATGTAGGGACGACGTGCCGATGTACAGGGAGCAACTCGACCGACCAGGGGTCTCGGCGTTAGCGTTGCAACCTGGCATCGAAAAAAAGGGGGGGTTGCATGGTCAGGTAGCAAAAATAATAATTTGGTGCGAGAAAGGGGCGCTAGTATTGCACCAAATAATATAAATACGTGTAATGACTAAACCAGAAGGGAAAATGAAGAGAGAGAACAATAATCATAACAAGCAAGTAGTAGTAGAGAGGTAAATACTAAATGGGTCTCAAATCTCAATATCATCGTCACAGGTACTGTGTGGACCACAGCCATCTCTTTCGGATTAGATCCTTACATACGTTGACCTTGAAGGTTTGGAGGCGTCTTGAATGAGGCTCGTGAAGCAGGAGGCCCGCAGGCAGGTTGTTCCAGGGTGTGATGGCGAAGAAGGGGAAGGATCGCAGGAGGTAGTCAGGGGCTGTGCGAGGGGGTGTCCACTTCAGCTGAAAGGCATGGTGCGTCTGACGTTTTTGCCGTGTGCACATGCTAGCTACGGCAGGGGGCTTGGTTGGTGGCAGCATGGCCTTTACCTGGGGAGGCCCTGGAATGTAGTGCAGCTTGAACAAGTATGACAGGGCTGCCACCATCCGACGAAGCTGAAGACTTTGGAGGATGGTTCCAGGTCCCAGGAAATGCAGGGCACGTTGCTGAACCTTGTCCAGCTGGGCCATGTTAGTTGCGGCTGCGCTCGACCAGGCCAGTGGGGCATATTCAAGTAGGGGTCGCACGAATCCCTTGTAGACCGTCACTCGACCATGGTCGTCCAGGATGGGTGCTGCCTTTCGTAGGAAACCCAGCCTTTGGGAGGCGCGCAGTGCAACACTGCGAGTGTGCGCTCTGTAGGAGAGAGTAGGGTCGAGCATGACTCCCAGCAGCTTCAGGGTATCTGTCTCCTGGAGTGCTTCACCTCCAAAGGTGACTGGTGGAGTGCAGGGGGGAACGTGCTTGCGATGTAGAGTCATGCGCTGTGTCTTGGCTGGCTCAAAACAGATACGCCACTTGCGGCCCCACTCCTCAAGACTGTTGAGGGACCCTTGGAGGGAGGCGGTGGACTGTTGGAGATCGTCAGTTGGCTGTACTAAGCTGTAGAGTGTGGTGTCGTCTGCAAAGCTGCTCAGCTGCGTCCCTGGAGTTAAACATTGTTCAATGTCACAGGTGTATAGAAGGAAGAGGCTGGGTCCTAGGATGCTGCCTTGGGGGACACCAGCCTGGATGGGTTGAGCATCTGACATCTGGCCTCCAACCACAACGCGGATGTTTCGGTTGGTGAGGTAGTCCTGTAGCCATACAAGCAGGCGTCCGTCGACGCCGGCCTGCTTTGCTTTGTACAGCACTCCTGTGTGCGATACCCGGTCAAACGCACCGGCAATATCCACGGCGAGGACCTGGACACAACCGCCAGTACTTATAGTGTGGACCCATTCATGTTGGAGAGCCGTTAAGATATCTGCGGTTCCTCTACCACGTCGGAATCCAAACTGGCTGTTTGGCAACACCTCATGCTTCTTTATGCTACTTGGTCGATACTTGGGGTGAGAAGGGAGTGGTGCTTTCTTGCAGGCTTGCCCAGTGGAAGGTTCGACGGGCTTCTCGTGTGCACCAGACGCAGCCGTGAGTCAGTCAAGTGTCAAGTCAGTCGGCAGGAAGCGCGAGCTCCGACGTTCGGAGCAGACACTTTCTTCACTATAAATCACCGCCGATGTCGCAACATCTTTCGTTTAAAGGGGAAGTTAAGGCAAAAATTAAAATTTCACCAGTTGTAGTCTTCGGGGTGCTGAGTCGAATGGTCTTGGTCCGAGGAAGCTGAGACGCTCCCTTCCTACTTGAATCCCAATCGAACTCGCGCACTTCCACCGAAACTGGGTGACTGCGCCCTACTAGATGGGGATTTGTATGCAAAATGTCACTAAAAGCGCCATTTCGTTCTTATAAAAGCACGGATGACCGCGATTGGCCCATATGTTGTAGTCTTTTGGACGCTGAGTCGACTGGTTTTGGTCCGAAAAGGCTGCGATGCAGCGCTCCTCCTTTATTCCCAGTCGAACATGGTTGAACAAGCGGTCACGTGCTCCTGCGTACACCAGTCAGCTGGTCACCGTGCCTGCAGGGTACAACTTACTAGCCTGTTTGACCTTTTTTGGGTGCAGTCCTGTCACTCGAGTTGAACTCGAGTTGAACCTTGGTGTGAAAGTTAGTTGTCGCCTGCTGGCGCGGTGACCAGGTGATTTGGGCACCCAGGAGCACGTGACCGCTTGTTCAACCATGTTCGATTGGGAATAAAGGAGGAACGCTGCATCGCAGCCTTTTCGGACCAAAGCCAGTCGACTCAGCGTCCAAAAGACTACAACATATGGGCCAATCGCGGTCATCCGTGCTTTTATAAGAACGAAATGGCGCTTTTAGTGACATTTTGCATACAAATCCCCATCTAGTAGGGCGCAGTCACCCAGTTTCGGTGGAAGTGCGCGAGTTCGATTGGGATTCAAGTAGGAAGGGAGCGTCTCAGCTTTCTCGGACCAAGACCATTCGACTCAGCACCCCGAAGACTACAACTGGTGAAATTTTAATTTTTGCCTTAACTTCCCCTTTAATACAAAGTTAGTTACCTCTATTCAGGCTCTACACGAGCAATATTCTTGATAGTTTCTCACACGTGCATGTATGCTTCCATGCCTTCCTAGCCGGTACAACCAGATGCGCGCTGAGGTAGGCTGGTCGTCAACATTGGTTCTGTCGTTGGCGCACCACGTTTCACGCTTGCTAGGCTGTTTCACACTTGCACCTTCTTGTCGTTCTTTCAATGCCAGCCATTCAGTTATCGTTGTTGTCTTTGGCTACTCTTCCGAAGTCTTCGCTGCGCTGCCGGTTCTAGTAGTAGTAGTAGTAGAATTTATTATTTTGTTCTATCACTTCTCTGCTGTACTTTTAAATCCACTGTTCTTGTTACTTTTCTTTTTTCTGTATTCCATCCGACGAAAAGCTAACAGCGTATACTTGTGCAAAATGTTCAACATGTTGCCGGCGAAGAGCCTGAAGTAAGTTAGTTACACGTGAATGTTCTAGCATTTTTTGTCTCCGAGGAAACTTTTTACGTATTCAAGTACTGTACCTCAAATTCGTTGTCTACTGGCTCCACTGTTGAGCTTTGTCGGCGCACTGAAAACAACCGTGTCTGGAGAGTCTGACAAGTAATACGGTGTAGTTGGTATGGTATGGTATTGATTTATTTGAATTCGGTACCTCAACAGTACAATGTACAACTTGGGAAGATCCGAATGACATAGATACATAAACATAAAAGTAGTTGTCTTACTTGTCTTAAAATTAAGAGATGTGTCTAAGTGTAGGCCTCACTATGGCGTGCCGCTGTGTGGGTTCACCTGCAACAGCCTCACCTTGCACGATCAATTACAGAGCAGCCATATGCACTACG